TCCAGCCTTTTCTTCTGTGATTTGTGCTTGCACTGTCCCGTTGTCTTGCACACTCCCCTTGTACCTGTCTGCACTGTCCTGCCTGCCCAGGATGGCAGCCTCCCTGGGGGAACAACGTGTTTCTTACTCAGCTCCAGGAGAAGCTGTGATGTGCAAAGTGTTTGAAGCACACTGCAGTAGGCATTGGTTGCTGGACCATCCACCAGCAGGGAAGGGCTTTTCAGCCTAAGGAGCTGTGATTTCTAGCCTGATGCTTGGACTAAGGCTGGTTGATTTCTGCTTACATGTTGTAAGCAGATGTTTAGCTTTGAGGATGATTTCTATCAGCTAACTGAGAAAGGGTTGACCTGTGGTCTTGATCTGATTCAGAAAGTTTTCATGATGTGATAGACAGCTGCCAAGTGGAGTTACTGTGCTGGGTAGAAGGAAAATGTGATCAGATTTGTGCTGAGACATATCACATTTCCCAGGCCAGAACACTGGCTTACCACTAAGTTTAATTATCAGTGGGGGAACCAGTCTTCAAAGTGCAGCAGAAAAGTCCATGCTGGGAAAATGTCTCAGTGCAGTTACTGGGCAGTGATGAGGAAAGAGAGATTCTGTGGTCCCATTACTGCTGAAACCTCAGGAAGGAGTGAGCAAAAAAAAGAGGAGCCCAGGGGAGGATGAGGAGCAGCACATTCTTGCCTGCCTCCTTCCCTTCAGCCCTGTTAGTGCTGCCCCATCCAGAGTCAGTGTCACACTGCTGAAGACAATCCCAAACAAGCTTGTGTTCCTGCAGCACAGAGAGCTCTCTGTGCAACAGGAGAATTTACTGCTATTGACACGTGAAGGCTGTGGGGGCCCCGCAAAAGTGAGAACTGAGATGGTCTCCACAGGCCAGTTTGTTGTTGTGGGATTTTTGTCTTCTCTGTGGTGGTGTCCTGTAGACCTCATGCTGTCTGTGCAAAGTGCTTTGCTGAGGACTGCTCCATGCTATTTCATGCAGTGTTGTAAGGTTTTTTAGTGGACTTTTCTCTGCATACACGAATTGCCATTTATGACTAAAGTAGTAACTAGTTATCAACTATTTACCAGAGCAAGAGCCGAGTTTCAGACCAGCACAGCCTTTTGTTCTTAGTTGATCTTCCTTTCTTTGTTTTTACTTATTTTTAGTACTTTTGAAACTCTTGATCACTAAGTTAATTCATAGAGGCCTTTTCTCTGTTAAAATCCAAAGGAAGGTCCTAGCAAAATAAGGATCTGATTGCCCATATTTATACTAGTGGCATGAGGGGTAAAGGATTTACATGACTTTCCAAGGCCAAAGCAGGAATCAGTGTCAGAGCTGGGAAGACTGCAGTTCTCATCTGTGGACAGTCTGCCATTGCCACCCGTAGGACCTGGAACAAAGTTCTGCTTCAGGTGTTTTCTAGAAAATATTGCTTGGTATGTTACTACAGCTGCAGCTGTAGTAATTTGTAATTTTCTGGAAACACAGGGAAATATTCCGTCTTCAAGCTGACGCAAAGTGACAGGTCTGGAGCTCTCTGCAAGCAGATTCACTTCAGTCCAGCAGGTTCCTGTGTTTGCTCCTGCCCAGGCCTCGCAAGCCTGGATAACTGGACATGTGGATATATGAGTGTGTTCCAGGCTGAGGACTAGTTCCTAGCCATTTACTTTCTTTCCCGTTTTTAATCTTTTAAAGCAAAGAAATAACACCATCTGGCTCCTGCATTTGTGGGATGCAAAAGTGATTTAACAAAAGTGAACTGCTTAATTTTCTGTTGCATATTTGGACACAGAAAAACATTTGTGTAACAAAAGCAGCAGAGAGCCTTATTTCTCCTCTCTGCAAGGCTCTCCATGTTCTGCCTGAAGACAGATGTGTCCTTTTCCTCCTGTATCACAGAGGGATCCCATCAGCTGTTGCCTTAAAAACTTCTTTCAATAAGACAGGATGGAGAGAAGATGGTTGTGGAGGTGGAAGTGGTGGGGAGAGGTGGAACAGCATCTGATTAGAAAGCGGAGGAAAGTGGAGGGACTGGGGAGACAGGGAGAAGTAGCCCAGCTTCTGTGTGAAGAGGAAAGGCGTGGATGCTGAAGAAGCATTTCTGTGCTGTGTTGTGTAACATGCTGTGCAATCTTTGGTGTGGGTCTCTGTGGGAAGGCATGATGGAATATATCCATATTGGAGAGAAAAGATTGGGGCGGATTTCGTTTTCCTTGTTGTTTTCTTTAAAAAACTCTGTGAGTAGGCGATTTTTTTTGGGTATGACTCAGGACTGTGACAGCAGGTGGTGGGACGCTGCAGGTCAGCCAAGCTGAGTGTGGCATGGAGACTGCAGAAAGTCAGGCACACGGTGCCTGCCCAGTGCTGTCTGGGGAGCTGGGGGCTGTTATGGTGGCTGGGGGGGAGTGTCAAAGCTAGGAACATTACCATGGCTGAGATTAGACCCTCCAGCTGCTCTTTCATCCTGCAGACTGAGGTTTGTTTGCTTCAAGAGCCCTTCTGTGACTCTGTCCCCACCTAAGCTCTAGTAAAATCCAGATATTTTCCATTTGCCCCTCAAAATGCATAATTCAAATCCAAAGCAAAATCATGTGGCAACTGCCCAGGGAAAGGGCAGTATTTCTTCATCTCTAGAAGAGAACACAGTCTTAAATTGTAGTCAAGAGTCCTTAATAGCTCCCAAGGTAATGTCCTGACATGGGTGGGACATCAGCAGTGAAGACACATGTTGAATAGAGAAAGGATTTATGTAGCTGTTAAACTTCATTAAGACATCCCTCTGTCCATATTTGCTCTGTCCTACCCTTCTGGCATCCTGCCTCAAATCCTGAGCTGGGCTTGAAACCTCTTGGGGATTTAGCTCCATCTTTTCCCAGAGGTCTGTCCTGAGTGTTCTCTTGGTCACAATCCATCATGCGGAAGATGTGTGTGATGATAAAAAAGACACATGCAGGACTTGCAAAGGGCTCTGAAATTTCTATTTCTAGCAACACAGAGATGAACATAATAACAAAAAAGGCTCCCTGTTTCTGTGTCCTCACTACTCTGGAGCATTGTTTGGATTTGGGAGAGACAGGTTTGCAGGAAGAAGTAATATGTTTTAATAGAACATGATATTGTTGGAAGGGGAAAAAAAGAATGAATCTTAGACACACAAACCCTCTCTGAGTTATTTTTTAAAATTATTTTCAGTAGTATCAGTTGGTTTAATAAAAGATTAATATCTCTTCCTATGAACCTTGGCCCTTACAGCCTTAGACCATCAGAACCAAAACAACATTTCTGCTATGACTTTGGCCTTAGGTCAGTGTTCTTTCAAAAGTCTGGGATCCCTCCTCCTTTGAAGCATGAAGGTTTACTGTGTAAATACTTTCTGTCTTCTCTTTCCTTAAAATGTTCAGGAACCACCCCCCCCTTATTCTTGATAATTTTCAGTACCCATTGTAAGGTTACTTTCTGATGACCATTTCCCATTTAGACCATCTCTTACTTTAATTCTTTTCATCTGGAGTTCAAGACTGTTTTCATTCTCGTGGGTACAATCAGTTATTTTTCCAGTGAAGTTTCCATGCAAGTAATAGATCACTGAGGTTTAGCAGCTGCCTGGGTCATGCTCCTTTGAAGGCTCATCCAGCATGATAGCTGAAACTTACATTGAACCTAGATTTAGTCTGACCCACTCTCTCCTACACAGAGGGTTCCTAAATGATCACACCATCATTGAATGGTGCTCTGTTCCCACAAGCTTTGAACTCTCTGCAGAGGTTTGACCATACTCTCCCAACAGCATTTTTGTGCATCCTTGTCAGAGCCCCTTAGTGCCCCTGTGGATCCATCAGCTGTACAACACCCACTTTCTTGTCCCTGATGCTTTCTTTGTTGCTTTGCTGTCCATCTCATGCAGCATTTTTTACAGCATGGGAGGTGGATCCTAGCAGAGGGAAACTGCTGCCCAGCCCTGTTGGCACTGGGATAGAGCCTTGTGATGAGTGTGCCAGGGCTCTGCACTATCACCTGTGAAGGGGAACACCAACAGGCAGGGGGAAGGAATGCTCCCTCTGAATTTCTATCTGGGATGTGTTAATGCCTTACTCTGGGAGGAAAAAATAGCTGCCACTCTCAGGTTTTATGGTAGACATGGTGTATGTTGGCAGTAAGTCAGCTCTGGACAGAGAGTGAGTCAGGCTCCCTGCACCCAGACAGTGTCCTCAGGCTCAGGTTCAGTGCTGATGGGTAGGGGAGAACAAGCTCAGTCTGGGCAATGCTGGCTGTTGTGTGGGATCTCATGTAGAAGGTACAATGTGTGTGTCATGTTCAGCTTCCAACATGCAGATGCTG